AAAAATGCTAAAACACCCTTAAAAGCTGCAACCCACAAAATATGAAACCACAAATTTGCATATATCTCTGCATGGACCCAACAAACATACAGGCCAAATTTGGTGAAGATCCATCAACAGGGGGCAAAGTAGAGGTAAAATGCCCATAAAAACTGCAAAATGCAAAACTGAAAATTTGTATGTATCTCCCCATGGACTCAATGAACCTCTATACCAAATTTGCAAAATAGTTTCATGGACATACAACAGACAGTACTATTATATTTATATAGATTTCTATCTCTGGTACCAAATCAGATCAATAAAAACCAAGCAGTTTTTGTTGACTGATAGCCTATGGTGGGAATATTTAACGCAGATATGTATATTTTATGTAGAGGACGAAAATGCTGTTACGATTATAAGGAATGTCATCAGCCATATAAAGTTCATTAGTAAATAATTTCGAAAATGTCAGAATGAAAGGATAGGAGTTTCTCTGGTTGGCAACTTTTTTGATATTTAACAAGTAAAGAAGTTAGGAGGTTCAGATTTTAGATTCTCACTTGTAATTTTGTATTATTTGTGTTTCTAATTGGTTGGAATATGTAGAAGTTATTATTGAAATTAGAAAATTCTGAAGTGGAGAGAGAAATCAGAGCTTGGACTTGTCAAGTGACACAATAAGAATGAAGATTGGGATTATTTTTTAATTAAAAAGTTTAAATTATCTATGTTTTCTTACCAAGTTTATTGACGTACATTTATAATAATGTTTAATTAAATATTGAATTTGCCATTAAAAAAATCATGATATGCAAACTTCAACCTAATGGTATGGCAATGGGAAACTGTCAGAAATTACATTGCAGTTAGCAAATTCTACCAATTGCTCAACTCTGGTAATAAATGCAAAGCATGGGAGATTATTCTCACCATAAACTGATTGATAAATATTACAGCAATTTCTGGCTGATGGTTACATTTAGTTCAGGATTATTATTTAATTGAAAATTATACCATTCAAATTTTATTGACTGACATCCAAAAAAAGCTCACTTATTGTGTTGAATTTTTACTCTGATTGATTTGGATGGTCCTAGAACATTCATACAGAAATAAATATAGCAAGTAAACAAAAAAGTCACAGAAACCCAAGAATACCAAAGTTTTCATCACTGTGTTACCATTTTCATCATTGCAGTTTATCTTGAAGAGTAAATACTCCTTATGTCAAAAGTTTATCTGGCTTATCATTGAAATCTTCAAAAGCTAACACAACTGAAAGTCATTTCAAGTTGAAAGTAGATCAAAAACTTCAGAAAGTGTAAATTATTTTAGAATTTATCAGAGAAAAATTGGAGAAATTGAAATTACCAACCATAAAATAAAATACTTAATTTGTAGTGTAAAAACTCTTCATAGACCTACAGAATTGTGACTTGTACTGTTTCTTATTCATGTACAGGTAAGAAATTATCTGTGAACAGTGAGTATTTGTGGTTCTAAACTCTAGTTTGGTTAATGAGATTAGTTTTATAATTTTAAAAATAGCGTTTTATCTACAATCTGATTTTAATATCTATGAAGTTTAAGTGATAACTTACATAAAGCTACACCATACTGCAGAAAGAACTAAAAATATTCAAAGAACATGTCTTCGTATAACAATCTTAAGTTTTAATTTATTCTGATTATCTGCATTTAATTGTAAGTAGTGTATTTTGCAATAGATAAGTTTAAGAAAGAAGTTAAACAGGAACAGAAAATAGGTGTTTAATTATATTTTAAAATTTGATGTATAATGTCCTAAATTATAGATTTTTTGGCAGAAGAAAATCAGAATTGGCATAAAAATGAACTTTACTCCAACTCCTGGGCAGAAAGTTCTTCTTCTGTGGGGTGCATCAGTTGGTGAAGACATATTAGTTGATACTGTCAATACTTTACGTGAAAAAGTGGGTCAGCAAGGAAGCGTTGCTGTTGAAAATATAGAGCGGCTATTAGTGTGTGAGTATTTTCAATTTGTGCGTATTGTACTTTGCATTAGAAGCAGATGAAGAGTGTTGTTGATTAGATTCTGTAAACATTCTACTTAAAGTTAACGTGTGTATTGTAAACGTTTATAAAATTGTATATTTGGTTAATTAAAAATAAATATTGTAGTGTTTCGTTGCTTATAATTTTTTAAACCAATGTTTAAAGATTTATCTCTTATTATGTATTATATAAAGCTTGTCATGCTGTATCATCATTTGATGTTGTTTTGTGTGGACTTCCTTCTCCTGGTGCTGTAACTCATCCTACAGAAGTATTATCTGAAATAGCAAGGTTACTTAGACCTGGAGGAAAACTTGTCCTTAGGGAACCTGTAACAACTGAAGATATCAGTAAGTTTCATAATGTAATTTTATAGGAATAATAAAGCTATCATAACATATCTCTGTAATGTATCTGCATTATATATATATATATATATATATATATAT